TAGGATTCAGAGCCTATATGAAAAGCCGACAGTTAACTTTACATTTAATAGAGAAAATTACAAAGAATCCTCAAGGAAGCTTCTAGAGATATAGAGGAATTCAGCAAAGTTGAAGGGTACAAGGTCAAAAAGCAAAAAACAGCAATAGAAATTTGAAAGGAAAAGATTTCATTTTCAATAAAATCTAAAAGAATAAAATACCTAAGAATACATTTAAGCAAGAATGTGAAAGACTTACAAGGAAAATTATAAACACTGCTGAAACAGATTCAAGACTTAAATAAATAGAGAGATGTTCTATGTTCACGGACTCAAAAATTTAATACTGTTAAACGTGTCAATAGGCCCACAGCAATCTATAAAATCAATGCAATCCCAATTAAAATGCCTTCTTTACAGGAATGGAATCTTCCTTCTACTTTATATGGAATGGCAAAAGGCCCCAAATACCTAAACAATGTTGAAAGAGAAGAAAAAAGTAGGAGGATTCACCCTTCTTGATTTTAAAACATAAAACTACATTAGCCAAAACAGCCTGGTACTGGTACAACAGAAATGCAGATAAATGAAATAGAATTGAGAGTCCAGAAATAAAACAACCATCTATGGTAAATTGATTTTGATAAGAATGCTAAGTTCACTAGATGGGGAAAGAAGAGGCTCTTCAGTAAGTTGTTTTGGGACAACTGGATTTCCACATGCAAAAAGTGAAACAGGATGCACGCTTCACACTACACCCAAAAACAAATTCAAAATGAACTAAAGACCTAAATGTGCTAAATTAAGCTATAAAATTTTAGAAGAACAAGGAGGAGCAATGCTGTTGGGCCTAACTTTTAACAATGGATTTTCTAATATAACAACACAAATAGCAAAACACAAAATAAATGTGACTTCATAAAAATTAAAAACTTATTTTCATCAAAAGACTTTATGTGAAATGACAAGCTACTGACTATATTTTTGGAAACTATATATATGATAAGTATCTAGTAACCAAAATATATATAAAACTTCCACAAGTTAACAAAAAAAACAAGTAACTCAATCATAAAATGGGCAAATGACTTGAATAGACATTTCCCCACAGAGGACGTTCAAATGGCCACCAAACACATGAAAATATGCTCAACATTATTATCCATCTGAGAGATGTAAATAAAAAACACAGTGAGATACCACTTCACTCCCACTAGGGTGGCTAAGATTAAAAAAAAGAAGAAACAGAAAGTAACAAATGTTGGCAAGGATATAGGTAAATTGGAATCCTTATCCATTGCTGATAGGATACAAAATGGTACAGTCATTGTGGAAAACAGTGTGGCAGTTACTCAAAAAACTAAAAATAGAACTAACATATGACAATTCCATTCCTAGATACAGACCAAAAAGACCTAAATACAGAGACTCAAACAGATGTGTATACCAATGTTCATGGCAGCACTATTCACAAGAGCCAAAAGTGGAAACAATCCAAATGGCCAGCAATAGATAAATGGATAAATAAAATGTGTATACACACACACAATGGAATACTATGCAGCCAGTAAAAGAAATGAAATTTGATATATGCTATAATATGAAAGGACCTTGAAACATTATGCTGAGTGAAATAAGTCAATCACAAAAGACAAGCATTATATTACCTTATTTATATAAAAAGGAAAGAACAAGCAAATGTGTAAGACCAAAGTTTATTAGTGGTTACCAGAGTGGGAGGCAGGGGAAAGGGAGGATTATTGCTTATGGAATATAGACTTGGTTTACAATGATGGAAAATCCCATTAGTTAAGGATAGGATTGTATGTAGCCAATTAATGCAATTACTGCCAGTAAATTGTACGCCTATAAAAAGTTGAAATAGCAAAAGTTGTGTGATAGATATATTTATGACAATATAAAACAGCAGCTGCTGAGGCTGTTATATACAATCAAACATCTCACAGGATTTGGTTTCACGGGACATCTCAGTTAACTGGCTTAATATCATGTTCAGTGCTTCTGTTTTACCTCCTACTTTGTTACATAGTACCTGGAGTCATCAAAGCTTACAAGCGGCCATTCAAGGTACTACAATCGGTCTCTATTTGCCTGAAGCAAAAGGGAAAGAAGGAGAGTAGGAATAGAAGGCTGAAATGAAATGTGCCTCCATAAGCAACTGCCTCCTTTGTTATGAGACAAGAGAAACTGGATGGTGCCCACTACTAATACTGCACATTTTCATCAAAGATTCTGGAGAAGAATCCTGATCAAAAGGTAGGAAATGCAGAACAGAACTTCAAAATCTCATGGAATCCATACTTTCTGGAGCCATGAAGACTGGATAAACCCCTGAAACTATTGCCCTGAGATAATCTTTAAACCACGTTGTTGTTATTTGCCGTCAAGTCGGCCCTGACTCATAGCGACCCCTCCTTGGGTTTCCGAGGCAGTATCACTACGGAAGTAGGATTGCCCAACCTTCCTTCTGAGGAGTGGCTCATGGATTTGAACCGCCAGCCTTCTGGTTAGCAGTCAAGTGCCTTAGGCATCATGCTACCAGACCTCCCCCATATACATACATACATATATATATGTATATAGTGTAACTCATTATGTTTTCCACATCACTCTGCAGTTACGATGTAGTATAATTTTTGCTTCTCAGAAACCTCAAGGAATAAGACATGGAGAATGAACAAGTTTTTCATAATGCTTGAAGTATTAAAAGTAATGAAATAGCTTTAAACTTAAAGTAATAATGATAATTGTTGTTGTTGTTATTTGCCATCAAGTCGGCCCCAACTCATAGCGACCCCTCCTTGGGTTTTCCGATTAGGGAAGGTTTATATGATGGACAGACAACTAGAGAGAGAAAATTAGGGAAGGACCAGTCTTTAAGGCTCAGTTTCCTCATATCTTAAAAAGTTGTTATTAAAATTATATAAGACAATCTAGCTACAGTAGGTATCCAAAAAGGTAATTCCTTTCCATCACCCAATCTCTTCTTTCTTTCCATTTTCCTAGAACAGCACTACCCAACAGAACTTCCTGCAATGAAGGAAATGTTCTTTATCTGTGCTGTCCAATATGCAGTCGCTAGGCACATGTGGAAACCGAGCACTTGAAATATGGTGCGGTGTAGTAAATTACTTAGTGTGGCTTTTCTACCCATAAGTCTTTGTAAACTCCAAGGTGGGATTTTCTATGAGCAGCTGAGGAGCTCCTGA